TTTGCAATCCATTTTTTTTTATTTCTGATTGTTAATTGCCATCAATTACAGGTGATAGTGAGTGGAGAAAAAAAAAAGTTTAGACGAAGAAAAGACTTAAAAACAAATTCTGCTTTCTTCCTTTTTCCTGTTGACCACCTCATCAACGGTACAGCAGCAGGCCCTTTTGTTGTTGCTGTTGTTGTTTTTCTTCTTTCAAAATCTATTCCTTATTTTTTGTCATCCGCAATCATCATCTGTTGCTAGCAACTGGAAATTTCTTAGACAGATTTTTCAAGTTACAGTAATTGGATTATTGGCAAAAGAATTAACAACAGGTTATAAATTGAAAATTTCAAAAAAAAAAATTGAAACTTTAGTTAATCTCTCCGTTTCTTTCTCAAATGATACATACATTACTTTGCTTTATGTGTTGCAGTTTTGTTACCTGTAATAATAACTCTTTTAAAAAGCAACGAAAAAAAATGTTCTTCTCAACTGTTCTTTTTCCTCTCCTTATTGGTATTTATTCCTCATTCCTTTGTTTGATAAAATAATTTGAAGTATTTATGAAATGCTTTTAACAAAAAAGAAAAAAAAATTTGACAATCTTTTTACTGCATCAATGAATTAAAATATAATGTTTACGAAAAATTAGTATGATAAGTGTTTCATACAGTTCATCATTAAAATAATAATAATAATAATAATAATAATAATAATAATAAATAATAATAATAATAATAATAATAATAATAATAATAATAAGACAATAATAATAAATTAATTTTGAGATTTTTCGGAATCAGTAATAATAATAATAATAATAATAATAATAATAATAATAAGAAGACACACAGTTTTTTCCACTGTTTTAGCAAATTATTTTTCAACCATTTATTTATTTTTCTCAGAAACAAAAATTTCTGAATACAGAACAACTCATTAATACTGCTGCTTCTGCTAAAAAGTGCATTTAAAACATTTTATAATTAATGATTAAAACAGTGAATCAAAGTTATGCTACAAAAAATAACAGTTGACGGTACACCGGTGTTCAAAACGTTTCAGATATCAACTGCTAACTAGTTTCTGCAACAACAAAGTCTCATTTCCATTACTGTTTTTGACATCATGAAGACTGGATTCTGGTTTTTGTTTAGCGTTTAGTGATTCAATTGGCCACGGAAGACTGAAATCAACTACTTTTCAATTTTTTTTCAAATTCTTATTGATTTTATTCTTTTAGTCCTATAGAAATATTTTTTTGAAATTTTCATATAATATTTAAAAAACTAAGACACCCAGAAATTAGTTAAGTAATTATTAAGAATTTAATGTATGAACAACTGTGACAAAAAAAAGAAGAGAAGATTCTTTCAAATTTCAAAATACATCGGTTTCTAAAAACATACTGTCGTCCAAAATATGTCAACGGTGCAATATCAACAGAGGTTTTTTCGTCAAAAATGTAACTTAATGGTACACCAATTACCAACATAATAATCATACCGATTCCAGAATATGAGTACGTAGAGATTCTAAAAAAAAAAACAACTTCTTGAGCAGTAATTCGAAATATGAAGTACAAAAATTTCAAAGACCTGATACAGGTCAGCAGTAGTACGACTAAAAAATTTTATATAGTTCGCGAATTAAAAACAACCAATGTTCGTTTTTTTTAAAATAGAGATCCTTCTTTCTTTTTTCTGACCCTCTCTCTGAATTCTCTTTTTTAAGAAAAAAACATTAATTTAAACAAAAAAACCTGGAAAGATAGCTGGTATTGGGAAGCCCGTACTGTGCATCGTAAGGAGGATGTTGCCTTTCCGTGAAATTCTCATTTTTACAGCCTTCAAGCCTAAAATGAATTAGCGTTTAGCACTAAAAAGAGATTCTCTGCGCAGACACCGCTATGCCATAAAAAGTAAGCATATCAACAAAAAATGCAAATTAGTCGTCTTACGTTGTATTAGTCGAGAAGAAAAGATCTCTGTATGGATCTTCAAAATAATTAAGGCAACAGATGATGACCATAATAATATTTGAAGCAATGAATGAGAAAAATGTTGACTTGAATCCAGCTTTAGGCCAAAACATTGCCAAAACAAAAATGCCAACAAAGGGGCCTGAGAGTGCGCCAAAAACGCTAATGCATACCTGAAATCAGCTGCTTTACTAGAAAAAAACTATCTAGTTCCTTCTAGAAATTTGAAATTTGTTTACCCTTAAGATTCCACCGAGTGGTTCTGCAGCGAACGCAAGTGCCGTCGAGAAGACACCAAATAGTAGAACAAACATCTGCAAAAAAAAAAAA